TATTCTACGACTTTTCCTTCTATAAAAGATTTGAAATGCAAAAACACCATGTAAATGCGCTATTTTTTCGGAAAATTTCGATTTTTATTGAAGGATAGTAAATTAGAATAATACCGAGATCATATTCGGAAAGAACACAGTCAGACAACTACGAAATAAAAAAGAATTTTGTTTTTCGAGTGAAACTTAAGCGTTTTGGAATGGATTCTTTCGAAAACGGTCTAGGCTGTAAAGACTCTCTCCGGTATTTTGAGAACGCGCAACTTAGCGCAGATCTGAACTAACATATTTTTATACCAAATGTTCCTCGCGAGGCCGTGGATCTATGGTGAATGCGCAAAAGTGCGCATATTTTCCTGGACTGAGATATTGGTTTTCCAAAATCCCTCGGTTTTTGAGATAAACTGACCTTTTCTCACTCAAAAAATATTTTTCCCTACATGATATATAGATATTCGGAATCACGTGAAAAACTGCAAGAATGGTATATAATTCATCTGAATTCGGTTCTTCCGTTCTGAATTCTATAAATTTCTTAGATTTGGGATTCACACGAAGAACTTTCCGCTAAAAATTCAAAATTTAAGAGAGAAACCGTGGAAGGTCTGAAAAGACTGCTTCTATAGGTTATCGACGATGCGCTATCCAATGCAATGGTTTTTAAGTTTAAAAACGTTTTTCAAAGGGTTTTCCACAAATCCGGTCTCTAGAAACCCACTGGAAAACTATTCCATTGGAAAGAGAATCGTCGAAAACCTATAGAAAGCGGTTCAGATAATTTCAGTCCACTTATAAAGTTAATGTCCGCCTGCTCTAGCGAAAAATGCCTACTGTGCGACTTATACACAATCTGAAAATATGCGACTTTTAGTCCCGTGTACTTTTAGAATTACCGAAGAGCTATATGGTCTTAAATCCTTAGGTATCGAAGCCAAAAGTGTCATATTGTTTTTAAGTTGGAAATCGTTTCGATAAAATGTAAGGTACCGCTAAAAAATGTTAGAATATCGTCTGCGAAGGCAAAAGAAGAAAAACTCTCTCTTGTAGATCGCTCGGCTTGAGCAGGTATAATACAAGAAAAGCTTTTGGAACACTTAACTCCGTGCTATAAGAACTTTCGGCGCTAAGCCCACTTAAAGAAGTTCCACCGATAGGTGGCACCAGACGCCAGTGCAACCTGCTTGAATGTTACATTTCCTGATAAAGTTATCTTTTCTCTTTCTAACAACGCAAACCACATGTCTCTAGCTACTTCCATTGAGAAGTTATTCAAGTTGCAACCAACTGCATTGTCCTATGAAATGGATAGTAGTTGGTTACTAATTACAGGTTATGGACTATGCTGCTTCCGAATATAACCATGACAGTTGCCTACAGGCCTCCAGAGACTTGTTTTCTGGAAAACCAGTTTTCAGAAGCTCTATAAAATATTCAAAGTCTGTCTTAATAAGGCATAATTATAGTTCGTACATTTCTGATTAAAATCTGACATCTCCCAGCCCTACCATTAGAAAATTATGTACTTTTGCCGCGCATCACCAAATTTGATGAAATTAAGGGAATATATACAGAATTTCATGGCGAATCCGACAGCGGGGTTCCTATAATTATACTTTGAGTTTTTGCTGGGG